TTTTTTTGCAGGAAAAGTTAAGCAACTCGTTGTTGGCTTTTTAAAAATAATTTCTTCTGAATATTTTTATTTCATTTTAATAATTTTGATAAGTATTTAGTTGTATGATGTACTGTATTTAGTTGTATGAGGTCATCATAAGGTAACATTTATTCAGTCACAATTTATGCTTATAATATTGAAGCAATTAATTTCCTTAATTTTCTAAATTATAAAATATTACAGAACAATTTAAAAAAAAAAAATAATAACAGCACACAGACATAAAATTAGTTACAAAATATTCAAATAAACAAATTCTTTCGTTTATGTGAAGGTAGTTTAATGTCGACAATGAAGTGCGAAGCTAAATATATATAAATAAAGTAATAAGAAATGCAAGATCACGTAAAAATGTTGCAATTTTTAAATAATTTCGTCCGACCAATTCATATAAAGGAGATTTCATATGTTGTTTATTCAACTTGAAACTACATTACTGCCTATGCTATTCACTATAAAAGTATGAATGCCACAATATAAAAAAAATAATTGTACTTTTTATGGATGCTTTTATCATTATCATATTATAATAAAAACTTTTAAAGCAATTATTTCGAAAAAAGAGATATACAGGGTGGTCCAAAAGTAAGTTAACCGATGTATATAAAGTAGGACCTCACAAAAACGTTTTACAATTAGCTATACTTTTATTCTTAGTATTGGATAAAGTCTCTTGTAATATATATATATCTAAATAATATATTAATTAATAAGAAAAATTACTATTTATTATAAATTAAAGAATTATACAATTTAACTTATAATACAAATTTCTATTTATTAATAATTATAGTGGTATAAGTTATATAATAATAATAATAATAATAATAATTTATAACAGAACGAATTTAAGTTTTAAAAGTTATAGATAAATATTTTCTATCCAACTTTGTCTAATGTATAGAATTAATCTTGAGAAAATTTAAATGAATTTCTCTTATTCACTTGCTCTTAAATTACTTTCTGTCGCGTGAGATAAACAGGAAACTACTTAATTTTTATTTATTTAGGTGACAGCGGAGTAAGATTTGACGGATCGCTTCAAACACCAATCATCCGAGCCGAACCATTCCAACAGTTAAGGTATTCATAATCGATATTTTCTAATAAAATGGAGACAAATAAAGTAAAGATGATTAATTATTGCATCACAGTAAATTATAATTTCTCTACTCGCAGGCTGGAATCCCCTACGAGTACTATTAACATAAAAGCACCCGAGGGCATAGACATAAAGTCCAGAGTGGGCGACATATCAGCTACCTGTCTGAAAGATTTTAAGTTACAATCTAAAGAGGGAGTGGTGAGATTACATTAAATATTTTTAATATAAAATTTAATAAAGTTTTAATTTATTTCTATGATTTGTATTATGTTTCTTTCGTTTAGATTTTACTAGATTCAGAAAAAATTGAATTAAAGAATCTTAAAACGGTACTACCAAGTTCAAGAGGGAAAACGTATGAAAATGTATATCAGTTGTGTGTTTGTGACAATGGCAGATTATTTCTGTCACCTCCAAAGGGTTATTGCCAAGCTGATAACGATGTATGCATATAAAATAAACTGCTGACAATTCAAAATTATTCATAAGTGGTCCAACAAAACAAGAAGACACTAAGCATATCTACTTTTTACCAGATAAGCCGCCATTTTGGATTATTCAATCTCGTTTTAACAAGTCTTAATTCGCTATATAGTTAAATATATTATAGAATCTTTTTGAAAATGAAACAGAAATTACTTTCTAATCACTATCTAGCGTAAAGAAATTTTAATAAATCAAGCATTAAACGTAGGAAATCAGAAAAATAAAAAAATTTAGGTAAATATACAATAGAAACTCATAATTGTGATAATTTCGGAATGACACAAGTGTCGTTTAGGTGAGTATATTCAATATGGCCGCCTTTCTTCGATTGTCGAAGATGAAAAGAGTTAAAATAATTAGTAACTATATGACATTCAATTATTTATTGTTAAAAAAAAAGAAAAAAAATTCGATAAAATGCCAGAACTGATTGATGGAAGATTGATTGATTTAAAGATGGATGTGCCTTTAAAAGTCGGGTACTGTAAAATTAATTATGGCAACCCTAGGGGATATTCGTGTATTAAAAAAAAAAAACTATTATTAATCTGATTGTGAATTCATGAATGTATTTTATACCTGTTTTTATNATTATATATACAGTACCTAATTTATATATAATACTGTACAGACGATAGTAAACTCAACTTATTCGCCTAAACTCTCTGTAGTGTGTAAGTAGTTCGGCTGCTCTTCAACTATTGGCCCAAATTCGACCAATCCTGTCGCGACACGAGTCGGCGACGACGTTTTACGAGTCCCATTTAGCGTCGTTATACGAATACTGTCGCAATTTTTTCGCCACGTTATAGGAATGTCCGTTATAGGAAACCGCGTTATAGGGGGACTACTGTATATATATATATATATATCGATTTACTATATCTTTACTTGTAAAATTAAAAAAGTGTTTGTTAACTCTGCAGAAATACTAAACTATGATATTTGTGTTATAATATTGTACTTTTTAAGTTGATTTTCTTTATTATTTTATATACTTCCTGTTAATCTCGATACAAAAGAAAACTTTTTCTTTCAAAAAATAGTTTGTTGCATTATCGATTGTTATCGTTACAAAGTTATTGTTCAATTAATGAAAAATCTTTTGACACTATATTTCATAACAGAGAAAAATAATTAAAACTGTAAAGAAAATTATGAAACGAAACAAACAGAAGGTTTTTTTTTTTTAAATTTTCGTTAAATCACAATAGAAATTTGTTAATCTGGCACTTACACCACGAGTTTTCGCAGTATTTTCTCAAAATTCAGGAAACTTACCTACGATCCGCACGTTGCAGACATTGTTCTTCACTTTGTACCAGCCGCTGTATGCTTTCAATTTCTTTACACATGCATTTTATGATATAATCTGTTAAGATTTACTGAAAATCTTCTAAAATTGTTAATAAGCACGCTATTCCTCAAGAGATCTTAAAGCTTCACTAATCCAAACAAATGTTTATTTGTGGAATATACCAATCCAGATGGTCTGATAATTATAGTATCTGCTATTGTAGATATCTGACAATTATCAAATAATTCCAGATTATTCTGAGTATGAAATTACCAGAAATTTCGGTTTATCAAGTGCCAGATTAACCAAATTCTGTTATACATAATATGTAATATAATTACGACTATAACAATCGATATTATAGATTATTTTTTAAAAAGATATTTAATAAAAATGTATTTAAAAATATAATTTAATTTTTCTTACAGACAAAAAATTCTCAGAAACGTGGTTTTGTAAATTTTATCAAGAATTTTTTAAATGTGTCAAAAAAATCAAGAAAATACAAGGTTATTATAAAGTTACTCTTTATTCTGTATTAACATTACGAAAGATTCATTACATAAGTATTTAAATTAATAAATTTAATATAAAAAATATAATTTATTTTAGGGTATGAAACAAAATAATGAATATCAAGAAGACTTATGTATGAACCTAAGTCATTCAAATACTGAAACAGAATTAAATGAGAAGAATTTACCATTAAGAGAAAATCAGTTATTATATTTTAATCCAACAAATAGTAATTTTGATAATGGCACGCATCATTTACAAGTTTCTTCAATAAATAGCAGTAATTTGGAGAATTTTACACGCAAATCTATCGACGAAAACCATTCGAAATTACACATCGAAGGTAACAAGACCGCATTAAAAAGCAATTCAAAAAATACATTGTATTCAATAAAGCATGCTCTACCCGAAAGGAATTCATCTTCACTCACTTCTAGTTTAGAATTTTTGCAAAAGAAATCGTTTGAGAATACATCAAAAATGTATTTGGAAAAGGCGAGAGAAAATTCTTCAGATACATTGTCAGAATGCGTTTGTCAAGCAAAAGAAAGTTCAATGAATATGGACGAAATATCAACAATAACAAATTCAGATGAACATATTATAAGAAAAGATTTAAATAATATGACACGGCAAGAATTATTAGAAGATCTGATTACAGTTTTAATGAAAATATTAATCGAAGAAAAAGGAAATGAAAAAGTTCATGAAGTAAAACAAGCAATTTCGAATGACGGGAAATCAAACAATGAAAGTAATATTGATAGAAACAAATATATCTCAAACGGAAAGGATGAAAGATATTCACCCGTAGTTGATAATTTCGAAAATTTACATACAATTAAAGAAAATAAGAAAATAAATAAAGCTAAAAAATATATAGAAGTTAATGAAAGCGAATGGGATAACTTAATTGTCAACGATTTCAATGACAAAAACATAGAAAGTAAACATTTGAAACCTTTTTCGGATAATGCCAAGCATTTACACGAAGCACAAATGATAAAAAATAAAGATTATAACATTCCAGATGTAACAAATCAACAACATCAAAGAGATAAAAACGTAAAAATTATGACAAAAAAAGAAAAAAATATTTTTAGTTGTGGGTATTCTGGTGAGGAAGAATGGATTAATGCAGATACTACAGAAATTAATAATTCAACTTTGAATATGGGAGATATTTTAACAGTTACTCCCGAAAAAGTTCACTTACTTACCAATGATTTAGATGATAAAATGAAATCAGATCTGATTACGAATCATTCTGAATATATTGTAAATTCTCAATATCAATATCAATTATCCGAACTTTTGGATGATAAAAACGTAAAATTTCCAGATTTTCGGGACGATAATAAAAGAATAGCAAATAAAACTGAAAATTTAATGTTATCATCTCCAACAGATGCCAGATTTATAGAGATTGGATCGGAAAAGATTACTTTATCATCTGAAAACAAACCAAAGTTTGCACAATTTGTTCCAATGAAAGAAAAATCAAAATGTTTATACACAGCTGAACATTTTCTCTTGCCGAGAACCAAAGAAGAAATGCAACAAAACGTTTTAATGGAAGCGTCAGAATATAATTGGCGCGATAAAAATTCAATGAAAAATGATAATAAAATATTAAATCCATCCTTATTGCATCAAACATCAAAACGAAATACTCTAGAAGGATCCAAATGGAATAATATAGAAGAAACAGTCATCGAAAGATCAGCTCCAACAATTTTAGATCCGCCGATAATCACGTCTCTTCCTACAAATTTACAGGGAAAAAAGTATGGAGATACAGAAAAAAATGATCTGCAACACATTAAAATCATCCCTACGATTCTACAAAACTCGGAGAGAAACTTCATACAGATTGAAATTTGTATACACTTTAATTCTAATAAAAATGAAGCCGTAATACCAATCGCTGTTGTAACGCCATCTCACTTCGACCATATATCCGTAATATCAGAACATCAATCGTGGAAATCTATACAAGTTTCAATGGCTGAATCGTTGAAAGTTACTACACCGTATAATAATGCAAAACATCGCTCTCTTTCAATGTGTTCGCAAGATCTGTTTCAACAACAGGTTTCAAAAATGGAAGACGTTATTAAAAGAGCCACTCTGCTTATAGCTGAACCTCGCGAAAAATTAAGCAGTAAGAATATAAAACAGAAAAATCGTCATATAACAAAAGTTACAAGCAGAAAAGGTATGAAAATTATAAGGTATTGTCATCAAAATAACAATCAAGAAGAACCGTATTTTGTTTTATCGACACCAGCAAAACGTGGAAAATATTCTTCGGTAGATCGTCGAAAGATTCAACCAAAATCGCATAAAATTTCAGCACCAGAAAAAATAGGGAGCAGACTTTATGGAAATATATTAGTGCAAAATCTTCCAAAAACAATGGAAAACAAGAATGCATTACTAGATAAAAAAGGAAATGAATATAAGCTTCAAGATAGTGAAGTTTCAGTTGTCGTTGAAACTCCATTGAAACACAAAGTGACAAAATCTTTAGGAAATTGTAGAAGAAATAAATCTTTCAGTGTTTTAAAAGCATCGGTAAATGTCGATAGAAAAAAAGATAAAGAAGATAATAACTCGGAACTATCATTTGAAAATACTTCAAAAAATAATGCACCTGAAGAAAATGGCGCAGCTCCAAATATGGATTTAAATAAATATAAATAAATAATCTTTACATTTTTGTATTTAAACTTGATACCAGTGAAAATTAAATAGATTTATCATGAGTTACGTCGACGTTTATTAATTAATAAAATATATAATTTGTAAAAAATAACTTTTATCAAAATTATTTTAGTTCTTTATTTTGCTATAAGATTCCATCCATTTCAATAAGCATATTGTCTTGAAATTTTCATTAGAAACTATTCATGTGTAACGAAACAACAATTTTTTTCTCTATCACTAAATGTACTATAGGAACCGTAAGGTACTGTACAGTACCTTTCCAACAACTTGCTCGTCTGTCAACATATCATCTATTACAGAAGCAAATGCACCAAAATAAGTTACTGCACATTACTCGCATTCAATGGCTGTATTTCATAAACCTTCGACTTCATTTATTTTATCCTTTCTATCTTGTGGGCACTGAGAGAGTCTTTTTTTTATCAAGCCAATCGTGAGTTCGGCCAGATCCATGATGAAGAGACCGGGTAATGATGGACAGGGTCCGACGTATCCAAAATGAACACCATTAAAATATTTCCGTGATTTTTTGACCTATCCGCATCCATTCCCAGTTGAGGTGAGTAGCTAAGGTCCTTCAGAGCCTACATCTCTGCAGGACCTTAGCTGCTACCTAAACCGCTTGGCCGTCGGAACACCTTTGACATCAGAATACCCCGTAGAAAAAACTCTATAAGTATAAAGTCTGGGAATCTTGGACCAGTTCACTGGTCTATTCCGACCTATTCAATGCTATCCCTATGACTTTCATCCAATCCCATCAATGTTGTGCGGTGATGCACAGTATCCATTTACCTGCCTTATCTATTTCGCAGCAATTTTTTTTGGATGTCAGATTTTTTTTAAGTGGAAATAAATAATTATTTAATATAGATAATAAAAAATAGATGACATAACTTTCCGAGAGGAAATTAATTAGGTTTAAGAAACTAAAGCAAATATTTGATAGTCTGTTTCCTGTTTCCACTTAATATTTTGGAA